AAAAAAAGCACAAACACAAAAGAGGAAAAACTGATATCCGAGATGTAGAGTGAGGTTTTATGGACTGATAGGTCTAAATTTGTAATTGGGATTATTTGAATCATGAGAAGCAGAAAATTCAACAAAGTTCTACGACTGAACTTTGGAGGTGTGTCTGCGGATTTCTGTGAGAAACTGAAAGTGAGTCTCCTGAAAAGAATGGAAGCTGTAATAAAGGCAAAGATTGGACACAATAAACACTGGATATTAAATATTACATTTAGTTGTTGATGATGTTTTCTTTTTTCTGACACTAAAAAATGAATAACTTCTACTTACCAACTGTTTTGGCTGGAAATGAAATGTGTCAGGTCAATAGGTCTCCAGAACGTTTAATGTAGAATAGCTCCTTATATATTAGTTTTCAGCTGAACCTCAAAATATCTGACTGCAGGGACTATTTGGAATTTGAAAACATTGATCAGACAGGATTGTGCACAGTAACAGCGATGTTTTGACTATTATATTTTCCTCTCTTGAGATTCTTTTCCTTTGTGCCGTCTTTGTTTGCATGTTTGAGAAGCCAAATAAATCCATCCAAAAAGTCATTTTTGCCTCTGTGGAGTGAGCGATGGAGTAGAAGATGCGCAGGCACATTTTCATAACGTAAAAAAGCAGATGTGGCTGGACCGATTCAGAAGGAAATAAAGAGACAGGGTGCTCACGGTGAAATGGAAGTGCAGAGCGCCCCCTATTGGTCAGATGATGCCGTGAAAATGTTGATAATTTCACTTTCACATTGAAGAGAGATTTCTTTTGCGTTCTGTTCGTGATTGTGACTGTCCTTTGTAACCTTATGCACTTAGATGCATGCATCTCTGTGTGGATGCATGTTTCAGTGCATGGTTGTGTGTCTACATCCATGTTGTGCATGTGTATTTCTGTATGATGGCCTGTCTGTCCTGGACTGAACTCCACAGGTTTAAGAAAGGCCAGCGGAGAACCGCTGTTTTGCATTCAGCTATTTTTGTGGTGGAAGTTTTAAATATTCAAAACATAACCTTTGTGTGGGTTTGGGTAGGACGACTAGGTGGCGTATGTTTCTGAGCTGACCTTAATATTTCCTGAGGTGGACGTAGAGTTACATTCAGCAGAATAATCCTAGAAGTGCTGCTTCTGGCCATATTGTGCAAAAACTAGAACCTTTGAAACGTTTCGTTGATTTTATGTATTACTATATATAGAGTATAGAGTGTTATTATATATAGAGTATATGTATATATGGAAAATATAGTTTTTTCAATGTGTTAAATTCAACAAGTAGACAGTAGTAATGCATTAAAGTGTGCAGAAGTGGACGTGTGAACTCATACTTAGAAAATCAACAGAAAATATGTTAGTTGACCAGAGATGCCCAAACTGCTTTATGAAAAGATCTGTAGCTGATACTGATTTTATAGGGTTAAACATTATGATAACAGATAAGATCAGCTGAAACAATTGAATATTTATTCTAGATTTTAATTTTATACTCCAGTAGTTTTAGTTAATGAGTTCTTTACTGACTGCTATACCTCACAGTGACTGGCTGAGATTCTCTCCCGAGTATTCTTAGACTTTTGGAGCATTTCTATTGGTCCGTTTATCATGAAATTGTCAGGCAGTGGACAGGGCAGCTGCTAAGTTCAAATGATGTAGAAAAATTAGTGTTTTTCTGTGGACAGCGATGCTATATTTTAATACCCACACCCAAACTTTTTGGGTTCTTCTACATAGAAAACGGTTCTATGTAGAACCACGAACACTTAAATAATACTTGAAGAACTCTTTGCATAATTAAATTGTTCTTTGCATTGTGAAATGGTTCTTTGGATTGATGGAGAATGTGCTGTATATGGTTTCTGTAGAGCCTTTTTGAAAAGGTTTCTATATAGCACCAAAAAGGTTTCTTTTTTCATGGGTTCTTCTATACAGAAAATGTTTCTATATAGAACCACGAACACAGGATACTCAAAAAACTCTTTGCATGATTAAAGGTTTCTTTGCATTGTCAAGTGGTTTGTCAGACTGATGGAAAATGTGCTGTATATGGTTACTGTAGAACCTTTTTCAAAAGAGTTCTATATATGTAACAATCCTTTTCAGTATGATATAGAACCATGTAAACATGTTCTCCATTAATCTGAAGAACGCTTTCATGATTCAAGAGTTCTTTGAGTGTTCATGGTTCTATATAGAACCATTTTCTTTACTAAAAAATCCTTGAAGAACCATCTTACTCACACTCTTAAAACTTTCATGGGTTCTTCTATATATAAAATGGTTCTATACAGAACCACGAACACTTAAAGAATACTCAAAGAACTCTTTGCATGATTAAAGTGTTCTTTGCACTGTGAAAGCGTTCTTTCAATTTGATGGAGAATGTGCTGTAGAAGGCTCTATATAGAACCTTTTTGAAAAAGGTTCTATATAGCACCAAAATGGTTTCTGGCATTGTGGTGATGTCAAGCTTGTAACAATAGCAGAACCCTTTTTTTGGTGCTATATAGAACCATGTAAACACGTTCTCCATTAATCTGAAGACCCCTTTCACGATGCAAAGAGCTCTTTGAGTGTTCATGGTTCTATATAGAACCATTTTCTTTACTAAAGAGCCCTTGAAGAACCATCTTTTTTAAGGGTGTATGTTCTGATGTCCTCAGCTGTCATCATCTGAAGTGCTAACATTCAGTAAGTCATTATGTTATAGACACTAACCTGAGGCATTTATGGAGCTTTTTAACTCTATATAATATATAACTCTATATAAATTATGTGGCGTCCACTGGCTGCGTTCGGGAGGAAGTGGTGTTGGGTTTAGGATGTGTTTAGGTGTTATTTGTGCTTTATTGTGTTGGGCTGTGAGTAAGTCACTGTGGGTCTGGGTGTCTGACATAAAGAGAAACTGTATGGCTTAAAGTGATCTGCCCACTACCTTGGTCATTTGCAGTATTGCTGGGCTGGGCAGTTTTTCGGCGTCCTCTTCTATGCTGGCGCCACGCTAATGTTATCAAAAGCCGCTGACGTATGAGCAAGCTGTGTGGTTAAATAGTTATTCTGCAGCTAACATAGCTGCTTATTTCTCAGCCACACTGAATTGCACACGGCAGATAACGCAAAACATCCCTTGCTGTTCGTTGTAGCTCACCCAGTCAAGTTCATCACTCAAAAATGAAATACATTTTCCTTTTTTTTCTTACATATGTTCTCTTCTTCGACTCAAATAAAGAGAAGGAACTCACAGTAGTCACACAAAGACGCACTCACTAGTGCAGAATCATTTGAAAAACAAGTTGGCAAGATGCTGCAGCACCAGGGTTTGTAAGGAAACATTCATTTTGATCTGTTGTCTGAATGCAGGATGTAAATATGTCACATTATTTATGTCCCTAAGTCGTGACTTTGGTACAGCCTTCTACGGCCCTTTCAAACGAACACTGCATTTACGTTTACACAGTGGACATTTTCACACTGGACCTGAATACTGAATACCTGCACCCAGGACTGATTCTGGGCTTGTTCGGGGGGAGGGGTTCGTTATCACTGGTTTGCGTTCACAGTCAAAAAGTCCATCCAAACCGTGGATCAATTTTGCAGTTCCATAAATCACTTTTCTGCGTGCAGGTTTGCAAAATGGTAGACATTAGCTTCATACGTTTGCTGCTTTTTATTATTTTCCTTAGATGCTAACACTTAACTGATTCATGTTACGGAGTTAGGCTAATGTAGTGTTAGGAGTCTTGCCCAAGGACTCTTATTGATATAGCATAATATGCTTGCCCTCCTAAAGAAGAGCCTAGCAATGTCTCTCCTACCTTATCTACAGCCTTGACGTCTATTGTAGCAATGTGGATGGAGCTACCCAGAATACTTTGTGGTATTTATTTATTTATTTATTTTTAGAATCAGAAGATGATACATTTGAATCCTGACAATGCTATAACAATTATCTGCACAGTATCTGAGAAATTGTTGCCAATACCAATAAAACTGTGAGTCATTGGTATCAACCTATATTATTGGCCAGCCAATATATCGATCAGGCCCCAACCAAAAGAGAGTGTAGTTAGTAAAGCATTTGCAGTTGACTGTGGCTGTGTGGAAAAGACCTTTATGACTTCTTTTCACGGACCTTCCCTGTAATACTGATACCTCTACTATGCTTCGTAAATAAAGCAATGATATAAACAGAATGCACATGCTAGCATTCTCAATAGTAAAATTCATGAATTCATAACAATATTCAGATCGTAAACAACGTTCAGCGTTCATCAGAGTAATACTAGGATACAGCTGAAGCATGAAGCCTGTGCCAAGCATGCAGCAGTGACGGTAATGACAGTGGCATTTTATCACAAAAAGTCAGTCGGTGTTCTGTCTTAGATGTTTTCCGCAGTAAGTGTGATGGTGACATTTGGAATGCAGGAAAAGTTTAAAAGGCAAAGGGAGACATTTATTTTGAGTTTCTGTATAAAGAGGGGTAATTGCCTTCCATTCCATTTGAGTCATGGTTTGCGTGAATCTCAGGTAAAGGGGAATGCCACTAACTAATGTTTATCTCAGATTTTCCAGTACTAGGCATAGTCTCTGGTTTGAAATGTTTGAACTGCTTAAATCTAGCACTAAACTACAGTCAACAGCCCTGTTTTTCCATTGGAAATCCATTTTGTGCCAATTTCAAGTGTAGAAAGTCTCAGCTTTTGTGCTTATTGTGAAGTTATGCTACAGTATGTCATAAGGGTGTGATTGGCTGAGATGGATTCTGTGGGTGCTAATATTTCCAACACTTTTTTCACACATGAGCATCAATCAACCTTATTCACTCTTAACCTCAAATAACTCTATGTAATACAAAATGTCTTGTCCCTTTGTGTCTCATCATCTTCTTAACTGTTAATAATAAACATCAGTAATGAATAAATTTAGATTCTCATCTGCTGCTTGGATTGTTTCTCAGTGTGTATGTTGACTATTTGCAGTGGGCGAGGCCAGGAACCTGATCCCGATGGACCCTAACGGCCTGTCCGACCCGTATGTCAAGCTGAAGCTCGTCCCTGACCCCAAAAATGAGACCAAGAAGAAGACCAGAACCATCCGCTCCTCCCTAAATCCCACCTGGAACGAGTCATTCACATTGTAAGGGAAATGGCTAAGGCTGGCTTTAAATGAGCAAACTATCTCACAGTTAGTTGCAGGCTGCATAAGTGAAACATGATTTCATGAAATCACATGAAAGTCACGTGCAGCATGTTCACGATGAGTAGCTGGTGCTTTTTGTATAGCATATCTGGCTGTGTGAATATTTAGCACCCAAAGGTGCTCTGCATAATATGACAATATGATGAATAGGCTATCTGTGTAGACTGTATTAACATCAGACTAAGGCTTGATTCACACATACTGCTTCTGCGTAGCATGAGCGATACGGAAAGTCTTGCTTTTCATTTCAGTGTCCATGTTAACAGGTCAGTGCTTTTACACAGGCTGGGCGTGCGAATCGGCAGAGCATCCCAGATGCGGCACTCAAGTGCAAAATACACTGAAATATGTCATGAAAATCAATGAAAATTAAACAGGAAAACATATACAAACTTAAGAACTGTATTTTTTTAAATGTAGTTTAATTCATGACGAAATACTAATTAAGCATTCTGAGCTAAAAACAGATTTCCACGTTGGTCTACCAAGTTTGAAACTTTTGCCTAATCAGAAGTCAGAATTCTGCCGAGGATAAATAAATATGCTGTTTTTTTTTTATATAAATGACTGATGTGACCATTAATCCAAATGGAAACAGGAATGTCTGTATAACCTTCTCGCCGTTCCGCTCCACAGCACAAACGCTGTATGTATGGAAGATCAGCGGATTCAAGCTGTAACACTCACGCTGCCATGTGGCTCACGCCACACAGAAGCAGTATGTGTGAATAAGGCCTAGCAGTGCAGAACAGACTTAGCTAGGTGGCTAACTGGCTAACTAATTCAGGTAACTGGTTGCCAGCAAGTCATGAAGCAATCAACTGCACAGAAATTATGTTGCGTAATTCATACAACTCGCAACCTGCAACTGTGAATATTTCACCATTTAAGGCCAGCCGTATGTTCACCCACCACCCGTTCCACTCAGAGCTCAGTGCTGAGTTTTATGTTCCGCTCACTGTTGCTTTTATGTCTGCTGTGTATGTGCGCAGTAAGCTGAAGCCCTCGGATAAGGACCGCAGGCTCTCTGTGGAGGTTTGGGATTGGGACAGAACCACCAGGAACGACTTCATGGGTGCCATGTCCTTCGGAGTGTCAGAGCTAATGAAATCTGCAGTATGCGGATGGTGAGAGCTCTCGCTGTGTGTGTTTATCATGTAATTGTGGGCACATTATGATGTATTAGATTTTAATGCAGAAACCATTACATTACGCTCTTAAAACAGATGGTTCTTCACGGGTTCTTAGTAAAGAAAATGGTTCTTTATTGAACCATTTGCATGATTAAAGGGTTCTTTGCATTATAAAAGTGTTAATCGGATTGATGGAAAATCTGCATGAATATGCTATAGACAGTTCTATCTAGAACCTTTTTGAAAAAGGTTCTATATAGCACCCAGAAGAGGGTATAACTACTATGAATTATTCAGTAACTACTTGAGAGTGAGGAGCTGGAGTGTGGGCCCACATAGAGACCCTTAAAGTTTAAATGGATTAAAAGAGTGTTTGTGTGTATGTCAGGTACAAGATGCTGAACCAGGAGGAGGGCGAATATTACAACGTGCCGATCCCGGAGGAGAATGATGGGAATGTGGAGCTCAGGCAGAAGTTTGAGGTGAGAGCTGACCCACCTGGTCATAATGCACATATTTGTCTTCAGTATTTCTCTCTCTGTGTTCTGTTGGTGCCTCTGAACACTATAAAGCAGTTGTTACTGGACTTAAGGAATCACTGCGTTGCATATTTGCATTTTTTCCTGTTCCAGTGTGCCACAGTGTTGTCCCCAGGCCCGAGTTTGCAATCTGTAAAAAAGAAATGTGGCTATTTACTTGTATATATACAGTTTTCCTGGCCTCCAGTGGGATCACATGACCAAAAGAATGACCAAAAAGAATGGCCAAATTTCAAATGTACACAGTTTTCCCCTCTTAAACCTAAATGTAGTTGAACAGCCAAGACATGTTGGTGTCTGAGGTTTGCTTCTTTAGTTTTTATGCAGGCGCTATGAGGCTAATGTAGCTAACAAGTAATGGAACAGTTACAACAACATGCAAACTGCTTGTTTAAATCATTGCACACTTGTTTTATTTCAATGTTTTCGTTCATTCATTCATGCATATACAATTCAATTATATCATAAACAACAGCCAATGGCTACGCAATTTTAAAATACTAATTAGACTATAATACTACGTTGAAAGAAAACAATTCATCAAAATGTATTTGATGTGTCTTATTCTGTTTTAATTAGCTTCCTGGACTAATTATTAACGGTTAAGCATTTAAAAGTAACTAGCGCCCCCATTCACTTTGTTAGCTTGTTTATTTGTACCTTTATAAGCAACACGTCTGATGTAACTGGACCTTCACCAGTTTTAGTTGAATATCTCTGCAGTATAGTGTGAGAAACCACAATAATTATTAATTAATAAGTTAAAAACAAAAACCAAAAAATACATTTAAAAGAAATCTTATTTTGAAGTCTCAACAAACTTTCAAATGTCTTAAAAAGTTGTCCACAGACAATGTACAGTATATCTTTTAATAAGGTCACATAAATTAAAATAATTAAAAATAACGTAAAATTGAATTAAAATAGACAACAGTAAAGGTCTGGTGGACCTTTTGTTTTGAGCTTTGGGTTTATTTTATTCGTCCTCAGAACTAAATTTTGTGGGAAGTTTAATATGCAGTGATTTGTTTCGCACGGACTCTGAGCTGACCAGACACATCGTCCATTTTCCTTTTTCTAACAACCCATGTTACATCAGCGCTCAGACCAGAAATAAATAGGATTTAACACCTACAATACCATGTGACATTACTGGCTTTCTGTCCTGATTTGTAGCCCCATTGGTTTTGCTTTGATGACGCATTTACATAAAAATTATTTATAATAAAAGCGTGTGATTGGATCAGCTGTAACACAGCACTGCTACAGGAGCCGAGCCAGTTCATGTTCTTGCGTATCGCCGAATGACCAATTGTTTACACACATTCTTTAGCGTTGCTACAGTATTTTTCTAAAGTGCTTGGTTTGGTCTGCTGAAATAGATTGTACAAAATACTGTTATATACAAAATGAATAATGAAAAGTGGACTTACATTTAAAGTAAGGGGACGACTGTGTACATTTGATTAGAAACTGCTTAAGAAAAGAAGGAAGGGGACACTTTACTAATAGGCAGGATTCATAAGGCTACAGGACACAGAAGCCTGATGTCATTTCACTTTAGCAAGTGGCCAGTATAGTTGGACTTATTATTATCTATATGGTTATGTCAGTTTTGTGATTGCTGCCCATCAGAAAAGTGTAATCAGAACAACTTATTTCTGGTTGGATTGCTATGAGGCTCCACTTTCATGCTATTTTGTGTCTGTAATTTTATTTTCCTTATGGTTTTTCTGAAAATTTGTCTGTTGTACTTCTGACAGATGCACTGCTTTACTGTATTACTTCTCATTCTAACTGGAGATGAGCAGCATTGATTTATTTATTCAGTTGTTTGAGATTCTCAAAGGAAAAATTGAAGGCCAGGCATATTTTTCCAGTGTCTGTAACAACAGAGCTTGATTAGTCTATTGATCAGTCAGACAGATTTGTGTTTGCAGTGATCTGTGGCCGATTCACTCTGCTGGTTTGTCAGGGTCGTAATTGTGCTGTTCTGTTTTCTATTGAGGTTCAGCAACAATACATTTAATTTTTAATCAATAGGATGTGAACGTGTCCTCCGGTAACACAAGCAGCCAGTCAGCGTATTGAACGTGGAGCGTGGGCAGTTGCCAGAAATGCCTACGGCGGTCGTTTAGGGCAGCCTGTTGTCTCGCACAGTATTAAAGTGAATGTTCATGCTATTGATATTTTCATTATCCGTGCTTCGCTTGTCTCACTCAGAGAGACACGTATTCATTTTTAATATCACATTCATTATGCATTTATTCATGTAACTCTTAAAAGCATGTAATTCTGACAGCTTTTCAAAACTTCTGCTTTAGATGGAAACAAAGTCATTCAGAGTGGTTTGGTGTGAAATGCTCTGTTCTAGAGAACCTTCAGAATTGTTCACAGTGGTGGTGATAGGAACCAGACATCCTCCCCTAAAAGCTCCCTCACAGAAAGATATTACACATTCATTTTGAATACGCCGCCTGATACATTGTTTTATGATAGTCTTGGAAAAATTTTGGCCCTATACTTATTTATTTAGGTCCATTTATGATGGGAAGGTACATGCAGGGTGTTGTGAGGCAAAATAGTCCCCAAAGAAAACTTTTTTCTTTCAGATTTATCACTATTTTACCATCATCATTACATATAAATTACATTACATATAAAACTCAGAAGACACATATAGGTTCACTGGTGGTTTTGGGCAATATATAAAATGGTATATTTATGTTTTTACATATTTATGTGACCCCTGGTTCCTATCACCACCACTGTAAAGAAATCAGAGTCTGTAAAAGAGTATAAACTGTGGCAAACTGTCAGTGGGTTGAAAGGAGAATACCACATTTTTTTTATTATTATTATTATTTCTGCATAATTAATGGTTAAGATGTTAATAAAGTCATTCAGGGTGGTTTGTTAATAATGCTATGGTCAAAAGAAAGAAACTGTAAACTTTCCAAGTTTCTCAGTGGTTCTGATAGGAACCAGATGTCTGAAGAGTTTAATGCCTCTAAAAGCTCCCTCACAGAAAGTTATAATGAAATGTTTATGATACACTGCCTGATGCCTGAGATACCAGTTTACAACCATTTTGAGATAAGCTTTTGTCCTAAAACATATTTTTAAAATGCTGTCATGGAGGAGACATACATACAGGGTGCAAAATACTCCCCAAAGAAAACTTTTTTGTCATCATTATCATTACATATAAAACTCAGAAGACACATGTAGGTTCACTGGTGGTATATAAAAAGATATATTTTCTTTTTTTTAAATATTTATGTGACCTCTGGTTTCTATCACCACCACTGTAAAGTTTCTCTACAATGAACCATTTCATATCAAACCACTCTGTTAACATCTTAAAGGTTGAATTATACAGAAATGTTAAAGAATTAGTGGATTTCTCCTTTAATTGGTTCTCAGTGAGACATAGAGAAATTGTATGGAAAGTGCAAATTGTAAACTTTCAAAATATACCACATTTTTTAATTAGGACTCTTTAGACGTCTGGTTCCTCTCAGCACCACTGATAAACTTGAAAGTTTCCAGTTTTTTTCTTTACACCAAAGCATTTAATTAGGAGAGCAAATGTTTTATTATGAGTTGAATTTGTTGTATGTCTTGTGTTGCAGAAAAAATACGTCCAATGTTTTGGCATCAAAACAAAAAAAGTCAAAAGAATGCAATTAATTACATATTTAACTATATAATTATTTATGTAATTATATGTTAAATCATTATGTCACTATCTACTAATTATAGAAAAGTATTAAAGAGCTACAGCTACTTAACCAAATCATTCAAGCTGCTGTTGCTGAGTTCTTGGGTTTAATTTTAGGCCTTACTTTTCACTGTTCCATGCAAAAGTTTGAATCATTCAAGCAATCAAACACATTCAGTGATGTTGAGGTCTGGACTCTGGTGTGGTCAGTCCATTGTTCAGCTTCTTTGTTTGATGTGTCTGTCTCCTTTTCTCAGTGAGGCGTCTTGAACAGCTACACATCCTTTCAGACCCATAGCGCTGAGTTGTCTTCTCACAGTGGAAGGATGGACAGAAACACCTGTGGATGTTTTCAGATCTGAAGCAACTTGATTTTCTCTTTACTGTCAAAGATGAAAGCTTTAAAGGAGGAAGCGATTTTTCAAAATTTCAAAATTTCAAAAATTTCTGCGAAATTGAAAGGTTGAGATGTAAACAAAGTAACTACAGTGATGATAATAAGAACCGAGATGTCGAGAGGTCTTTACTAATCTAAGAGTTTTTATATGCCACCACTGTTTTACATTCATAACAACTAACTGAAACCTGGCTAGGCTACAACTCATATTCACAATCAGACCTCTAGAATGTCCAGAAGACGCAGAGTGACATTTCTCACACAATTGGTCTTATTGTAAATTAAAAGTAATTATCATGTAATTATAATTAAGCATAGAAATGATGCTGGTGGTTAATCTAACATGCAAGGCAATGGGAGAGCTCGCTTAGGTGTATCTACCTGGATACCACAGAGAAAAAAATGATCTGAAGAATTTTCCATTGCCAGTTTCAAGATATTATTATTTTTGTTACTAACTAACATGTAACAATGAAAATGAGTATTACTATAGTAATTGCAGTGTTTGATTATTTTGAATAAAATATAACTAAATATGACTTGTTCTGTAATCATTAGACCTTCTCTGAAGGTCTAGAAGACCCTGAGGGTTCCTCACTGCAGGCTTTATGGATGATAACTGGATGGAATACAGTATTGGACTCATATGTTAATATTATTGTAGCTTACATTTTGACGTTATGGCACCACTTGATAGGTGAGGAAGCAATAAAGCGGGCGTTGCCGTGGCAAAGTGTTCAGGGGTTTGAAGTATCACCACTGTGGCCCTGCAGTTTGCAGTTACACACACACACACACACAGTCACACACTTTTGCGGTGCCCCATGCCCATTAACAGTCCCCCTCATGGGTGTATGCTTGCTCTTTTCCCTGTTTCCATGGCAACACCGAGGTCTCTGTCCGCCCTTAAAGGCAGAATTTATTGAAGGCAATAAGTCTGTTATCCCTCTGACGATCATCTCCCCCACTTAGACAATCACACACAGTACTGTGAAAAAGTCAGAGACCCCCTTCATTTATTTCATTTCTAGTCAAGTAGAAGTTATTCATATTTCTATGAATAAACATGTACTTAACAAAAATCACATAGAAGCCTCAACAACTAAATATAATATCAGATTGTTCAGTATTCAGTGTGTCAGTCTTTACCTTTATTACAGCTTCCATTCTTTTCAAGAGACTCACTTTCAGTTTTTCAAAGAAACCTGCAGACACACCTCCAAAGTTCAGTCTTAGAAGTTGGTTGATCGTTTTCTGAAGTAATCAAACACATTCAGTGATGTTGAGGTCTGGACTCTGGGGTGGTCAGTCCATTGTTCAGCTTCTTTGTTTGATGTGTCTGTCTCCTTTTCTTAGTGAGGCGTCTTGAACAGCTACACATCCTTTCAGACCCATAGCGCTGAGTTGTTTTCTCACAGTGGAAGGATGGACAGAAACACCTGTGGATACTTTCAGATCTGAAGCAGCTTGATTTTCTCCTCTCTCTCAAAGACGACAGCTCGAAACGGCTGTAAAACAGTGTCTCAGGCATCAGGCTGTGCATTCATAACCATTTTATACAATAGCTTTCTGTGAGGGAGATTTCAGAGGCATTAAACTCTTTAGACGTCTGGTTCCTCTCAGCACCACTGATAAACTTGAAAGTTTCCAGTTTTTTTCTTTACACCAAAGCATTTAATATCAAACCGCTCTGAATGACTTTATTAACATCCGAACCATTTAATTATGCAGAAAAAAATCTGTCATATTCCTCTTCAAATCCACTGACGGTTTGACAGTTATGAAGTTCTAATGATGTCTGAGTTTTTTTTGTCAGTGGAACAGAAATCCAAATCAGGAATGTTTCTGTTTCACACATGAAAGAATTCAGCTGTATGAAGGAGTTTTATAAATTTAGGGAGAACATGAGTGGGGTGCAATTTGCATTGACAAGCTAGGTAAAAGGCTTGAAGTTCCAACAATGACCACTAGATGCCAGCCTTGGACCTCTTAAAACTCACAGCAGTACACACACACACACACACACACACACACACACACACACATTCTCTCTCTCTCTCTCTCTCTCTCTCTCTCTCTCTCTCTCTCTCTTTCTGACCACTAACTCTAATGTTGATCCTAAAAAAGATAAAGGTAATTGGAGTGATAAGATGTTTGATTAGGTTGGGTATATTTATTGAACTTATTTCCTTCCCGATGTCCTCTTTTTTTCTCTCTGCCTTCCTAACTGTCTGTTCATAAATCATATGATGGTAGACAAACCAGTAAAGTTCCACTTTGGGAAGCCTTGTACTAGAAATATATAAGAAAGGAGAACTTGTGTTGTTTTAAGGGTGGGTACTTTTTTCACTTATAGTGACTGATGATAACAGTCTAACAATAGTCTGTGTTGCTGTCATAAAAGACATAATTAGTGCATAATGCAGTGCTGATTGTCTGAATTACATATTGCACTGAAAACAATAGTTATATTATTGTACCGTATATGGAACATTATATGGGATATGTGATTGGGAGCTTTATTTGTGTTTACCTTTGTCCTGTGATTGCAGGATAAGACATTGAAAGGCCTTAAACAGGTGCGTGTGAGAGTGTCCGTATGAGTGTTTGATAAGAGAGAGAGAGAGAGAGAGAGAGAGAGAGAGAGGCTGAAGGTGACTGTAGTCCTCTCTGGTTTGGGTTTGGCCTGGTCTGCTCCGCCTCGTGTGTGACGGCATTCAGAGTACGGCTGCTGTATTAACGGCTTTATAAGTGCTAGGAAGAGTGAAACTTTAGCGCCATGCTAATCTCTGCTTCTTTCCTCTGATTAAAGTTATTCCAGTCAGACTGTCTTGGTGTGTGAATGTTTCTGAGTGTGAAGGCGCGAATGGAGAAAGTCGGGGTTAAAAGACGTGTGAAGTTATGCAGTTTCCAAACAGCATCATGCTACCTGTGATGTGACAGCTCGAGTTAGCACTAGCTGAGCTTGGCAGGGCATCGTGGCCTTTGCATTTGTGCATGGCATCATTAGGCTTTGTGAATGTTTAAGCAGTAGTTTGATCAAAAATCCAAAAAACTCCCTCCTTACTTCAAATGTAGCTGATCAGATCAGTCATGTTTAGTGTTCAACGTTTGCTTCTTTAGCTTTAGCAGTGGAACTACGAGGCTAATGTAGCTAGCAATTAAAAAGCTTGTGGCCATCAGTTAGCATCGTGCCTCAATCATCACATGCAGACGTTCTTATGTGGTTTCTGACATTGTATGATATACTGTTATCTATAAACATGGGCAAAAGTACATTAGCATGGCTAAGAACAGTAGTAGCTCAGCTGGAAGCCTTAGTTTTGTCTGTATTATGTGTCAAACGGGTTCAGAAAACACATAATCAAGTCTATTTGAGATCACTTATGAACTTAACTGTGTGATCATTTAGGCTTGCACTTTATAGCTTTAATTGGGCCTTAAATTTTGGTCCAAACCTAAACAGCCTAAGAATTTTCTGTCCAAGTCCTACCTGATCTGAACAAAACCCAACAACATTTAGTGACCCGAGATCACGAAAATTCTGACCCAACCCAAGCCTGTTGTTTCTAATGATAGCATGGGCCTCGTGGACTTTAGTGCTAACAACACAAGAGGGTGATGTTGAAATGAAAATTGTTTTAAGGTAATGAAAAGGGAAGAAGATTGTTAAAAATGAGAGGCAGGCTATGAGAGCCTGAATGTGTTATTTAAACCCAATCCCAGCCCAACACATTGTTGGGAAATGGTGTCCGGACCTGACGTAAGTAGTCAGGTCCTGCCAAGTTTGTCAAATACTGTGTTTAATTTAAGGTCAGGGCTCAGAATTAGGCCATATTTGACCACGCATTCAAGCTACCAAGTGAGAAAAAACATGGACAGCTCCATTAAAGTGAATATTGTTAGCAACAAGCTAGCCAGCATTAGGGATATGAGTGAAGTTTAGTGTTTATAATGTTTTAACATTCTCAAAACAGTTGAGGTTTATAGTCAATATTATAGGTTTAACTAGTTTTACTACTACTGTCTGTATGTTGACTAGGCTAAAGCATATTTCATTTAAAATGAGAAACTATAACTTTATTACTTTATTTGACGTTACATGCTAAGCTTCCCAGTAGGACACCATCCCGACTTTCCCAGTAGGAATTCCCAGTTGCAAGAGGCATTTTCCTCATTTGGAAACTCAGAGTTACAGGCCTGAGGTCAATGCAGCAAAATATTTGAAGCTCTAATGCAGCTTGATAGCTGGATTAGCCTGGTAGCTCCATTGCAAAACTAAAGAAGCAAACCTCAGATATCAACATGTTTTGGCTGATTGACAACATTTAGTGTAAAAGGGAACTGAAAAAAATAGATTTTTTGGCCAAAGTATCAATTTATTGCCTGTTGTAGCTCTTTAGCATCGCTCAGAAAAACAAATTACAACACATTTTGCTTGAATGAGCTCCTGTGATGCATTTTCCAGCTTTTGTATTTTTGAGGTGCTCTTGCATGTTGAGGATATTAAGCAGCAGTTGCTCAGGCAATTTTGATTGATCTGTCAACGTCAGTGCTAAAGCGAAGGCTGCTTTTAGCGCTAGGCGCCTGCTGGAATAACATCACTGTAGATTTGCCTTTATAAACACTTATGCTTTTGGTTATGGCTTTATTTTCATATACAGATCAGTCATGGTCATGCCAAGTGCTACAGAACCAGAGCAGCGCAGTATAAAGTTGAATGTTTCTCTACTCAGACACATATGGTTTTATTCATGAGCTCATTATGAAGACTTTGTTACATTATCTTATTATTGATCATTATTTTTAATCAAATCAGGTAGTGGAACTGAACTGAAAAGTGCTGTGGCCTTGTAGAGCTGGACATGATCATCAGTGTTCTGTATCAGGGATGGACATTAACTGACCTATATGCATTTTGCATAGCATGTACATTGTGATGTCGGAGTACGCTGGTATGATTTGTCCCTCTATATTACGCAAAAAGCTGGAGACACCTGTGAGTTCAGTTGTGCACATGCAGTGCTCAAGTCAAACAGCAAGAGGCAGCAGCGCCTGGCCTTCTCAAAAGGAAAAGAAGAGTTTGACCCCTCAAAGCACCATTTCTCTTGAATGAACCCTAGGAGCCATCCTGAAGTCAATCACATCAGTCGATGTCACAGATCTGGGGATGAGACGAAAACATCGCACCAAACCACATCTCAATCTGGACTGACACTGAGACCACCAAGCTGCCCACTCCAAGTCACACAAATATGAACCCTTGGGCTGAATCTGAGGGCCTCTTTATACCATTAACATGTTTTCAGTGTTCGGTTTTCACTTTGACTGCATGAAAAGCCAGGTGTTAACCCAGTTGGAGTAGCATTGGAGATGTCTGCTTTGAACATATGCATTTGGATAAGTATCCCAGTATTTGTTTGGAGGTAAAATGTGGGGTTAGGTGAATGTTTACTAGATTGCTATTGCTCACTTGGACCCAAAATATTGACTGGTAAGTCGTAATATAGCTGAAATTATGTCTTTTCAATACGGTAAAGTACAATTTCCACAATATATTAACAAATTAAATAATTCTAAAGAAAATAAAAAGGATGCAAAAGATGTCTAAGACTACCTTTGAGCAGTGTAGTTGTTGAAGGAAGTTGCAGCTAACTGCCTTTCTCCTGCCCCCTAACCGACATACTTAAGAGTGACCACAGAAAGCATGCGTCAGTTCCTGCTGGCCAGTGTTATGTATGATGCATGCTCCAAAAGCCTCAGATTTGCACTGTTCTCGCAGCTGGCACCCAGAAGGCCTTGTCATGGCTGTTTTTTTAAGTGTGTGATGTCTGTGCTCCATCTGTGACCAGAGCGTGAGCAGGTTTTTTGGGTTTTGGCGCGTGTGCTCTGGTCAGTCCCTTGCTACCATATTCACTGAGGCATGGTGGCTACTGGCCTGGTTCAGTCATGCTGATTTGTTGATTCAGCTCATTCGGTATCACTCTGTCCCACCCTCTCTCTCTCCCGCTGTCTCTCTCTTTTAGAAAGCCAAGCTGGGCCCCGGTAAGAAGGCCATCACCCCGCTGGACGATGACAGGTCCAGTATACCCTCCTGTAACCTGGACCAGGTCAAGCTCTCTGACTTTAACTTCCTGGCTGTTTTGGGGAAAGGAAGCTTCGGGAAGGTGCGTATGTCATCTGCTGTCGTCCACTCAACAGGCCTGCAAACTTAAAGCATTAACACAAACAAAATGACCAAGTTTAAGTAGCATTTTAAGTGTTGATACATTGGCTGTTTACACTGAAATCTGTTTTTATTAAAGTGACAGTTTGTTAAAAAAAAACAGCCTTAACAGGCCTTAGCCTTAATTTCCACCCAAAGCCTAAACCTAATCCTAAACCTACTCTAACCTTAACTTCCAGCCCAAACCTAAACCTAATTCTAAACCTAATTCTAGCCTTAACACCCTCCCAAAGCTTAAACCTAATCTTTACCACCTGAAAACAAAACCTAATCCCAAACCTAACCATAGCATTAACTTCCACCTAAAGCCTAAACCTAATCCTAAACCTAATCTTAACCTTAATCTTCACCCATAATTTAACCTAATCCTAAACTTAATGCTAACCTTAACTTCCACCTATATCTTAACCTAAACCTATACTTGTCACTATAACTTCCACTTAAAACCTAAACTTATGTCTGACCATAAGTCCCACTCAAACTTAATTCTTAACTTAACTCTAACCTTAACTTCCACCCTAAACCTAATCGTAAACCTAACTCTAACCAACTTCCACACAAAGCCTATTCATAATCCCAAACTTAATCCTAACCATAACTTCAGTGCAAAAACTAAACCTAATTCTCAACCTGATCATAACCTTCACTTTCACTCAAAGCCTAAACCTAATCATAAATCTAACCTTAGTCTTAACTTCCAACTAAAGCCTTAACCTACTCCGAGCCCTAACCTAAGCCTTAACTTCCAACCAACGTTTTAACCTACTCCTACACCTAATCTTAGTCTCAACTTCCACTCAGAGACTAAACTTAATCCTTAACCTAACCTTAGTATTAACTTCCAACCAAAGCCTAAACCTAATCCTAAACCTGACCTTAGTCTCAACTTCCACTCAAAAACTAAACCTAATTCTAACCTTAGTCGTAACTTCCTCTCAAAAACTAAAACTAATCCTAATTTAGTCATAACATTAACTTCCACCCAAACCCTAAAAAATCTAATTCTAACCTTAGTTTTAACTTCCACTCAAAGCCTAAACTTAATCGAAAACTCCTAAACTTAACCTTAGTCTCAACATCCACCCAAACCCTAAACCTAATCCTAAACCTAACCTTAGTCACAACTTTCACTTAAAAACTAAACCTAATTCTAAACCTAGTCATAACCTTAACTTCCACCTAAACCCTTAATCTAATTCTAACCTCAATTTTAACTTCCACCTAAAGCCTAAACTTTATCTTAAACCTAACCTTAGTCTAAAATTCCACTCAAAGCCTAAATCTAATCCTAAACCTAACCTTAGTCTCAATTTCCACTCAAAGCCTAAATCTAATCTTAAACCTAACCTTAGTCTCAACTTCCACTCAAAGCCTAAATCTAATCTTAAACCTAACCTTAGTCTCAACTTCCACACAAGGTCTAAACCTAATCCTAACACTGTTTATACTGAACACATTGTGTCAACAGAAAGTGTATTATCAATCTGAGCTTCTATAGAAAATCTATAGGGGTCTATCAGAATAACTCATGACTCAAACAGCAGTGGAAACTGTTTTAAAGGAGATTCTAAGTCTGGGTGTCCTGTACGTGTCCTGAATCACAGCGGTCTCTCCACAGGTCATGTTAGCGGAGATGAAGACCACCGAGGAGCTGTATGCTATAAAGATCCTGAAGAAGGACGTGGTGATTCAGGACGATGATGTGGAGTGCACCATGGTGGAGAAGAGAGTGCTGGCCCAGCAAGACAAACCCCCGTTCCTCACCCAGCTCCACTCCTGCTTCCAGACTGTGGTACGGACTGCGGCATATTTCTTCGTCTCTTTCATCTCAAAATTGAAAATATCACATTTGCTAACTTCGCTAACTGCACTACTTGTTTGTGCTGTTGCAAGTGAACAGCTAGACTTCTTCTCCCTCTCTGTGAGTAAAAGCCACAAATTGCCACTAAGTGTACTGAAGTCCAGAAACCAATTTCTTGAGTCAAATCGAAATCCTGACCAGCAGGAAAAGGACAATTGGACAATTGAAATCACAAAGCTTCAGTATCTGCCTCCCTTCTGTCTTCACCAGCTAATGGGGAAGTAATCTTTTTCGAAACCACCCGCCCATAAAGACCCACTGGTAAAGCATTTATATTTTCCCCAAAGTTCCTCCCACCTTCAAGATACATCATCACACTGCAAAAAATGGTATCTTGCCAAGTAAAATAATCTTAAATCTAGTCACTAAATCTAGTATTTCCGCTGTTGAGATTGTTGTAAGATTATTTTAAGATTATTTAACTTATTTTCAAACATTTTTTACTTGTTTTAAGTGATTTTATTAAAAAAGTGCTACAATGCCGGAACAAGCGCCTGCACACAAGTACCTTTACATGGCATTGGCCACAAGCACACCCCAATTTGCCCTCATATACATATTATTTACATGCAGTATGTCCTCTTTCATAAAGATGCTTTGATAGTGAGCCAATAACGCAAAAGTATTCAGCAGCTCATGAGCCAATGGTTGTCCTCATAGGTGGAGTTTGGGGTTAAGTAGGCAGTGCACTGTCCCCCCCTACTGGACAGAGCATTTGAGGCATTAAAATATTATGTTCAAATTTACACAATGTAGGTTTGACCGTACAAATATGTCAATAATGAACAACAAAACTGTCAGTGAATTTTACATGCGCTCATTTATGATCTAATTTGACTGTATGCAGCTCTGATGAGTTACGGGCCAGTGTGAGTAAAGACTGGGAGGTTGTTGGTAATGATAGCCTGGGGTGCTGTGTTCTACACCTTTAGAACTGATCCGTGAAGCTGCTTATACAGTCATATGAATAAGTTCAAACAACCCAAACTGCATGTTTTGTTCATTTTCTAAGTGAAAATAATGTAGCCCCTCCTCTACAGAGAACTTTAGTATGGCACCCTTTAGTACACAATTTCTATTTATTTGTTGATTTGAACATATTGGGAAAAAAACAAAATGTAAAACATAAAATGCATCATAACTTTTGCAAAGGCCCCATTTTGTTCTGTTCTCTTTTTTTGTTTTTTTCTAAAGTTGAATTTAGCAAGTAAACAGTATTTATGTTCTCTTTAGAGAATGTATTAACAAAGTGGTTATCTGGAGTGGTTATTCTGACATCTCAGGCACATTTAAGGTGGAGCAGAACAGTTCAAACAAGAAGCTGGTGAATGTAAAGCTGACTTCGGCCTCGGTAAAATGCCAAACATTGAGAGACATTTTACAAGAGACTGTTCTACTTTTGTTTCCTGCCGGAGATGTGAGAAAAGCAGGTATAGCTGAGCTTAAGCTTGTAAGACTTTGTTTTTGTTTATATTATATTTTCTGGCCTATAGGAGTACATTAACACATACTGAGACATATTTACAGCCACGATGGTAAAATGGATATAATATGCTGCCAAGGTGGATTGATTTTTGTTGAAAGGACAAAATGGCTGTTCCTAATGTTTGGGTTGCCCACCCCTGGCCTACACCTAGGGCTGGGCAATATGGCAATATATATCGTTATTGTGATAAATTATGTCACAATACAATACAATATGCTTTTCTGAACATATTATGTATATCATCAGTACTTGCAGAACTGACCAACTGCCTGTTTAATTACAAAGAGAGCAAAATTAGTTCTATTTAACTGGATTTGGTGCAACACAGTATACCAAATATTGAATAACATCATTCTGTTGATATCACTATTTAATTCTAGTGATATTACTATTTAAAATGTAGCACTACTGGTTCTTTTTTTCTCAGTTCCAACTGATCAATATATATAAATATTGTGACATATAAATGTATCTTAAAGTATCACAATAATATATTTTTGCCATATTGCCCACCTATACATACAGCAGTAGACAGCAGCTGAGAAAGACGATGAAGAAGTCTCCGCTGGCTGTTGGCAACAGATGTTTTATTTGTAGCTAAGGGCTGTCCTGTCAAATTTAAGTTACGTCACTTCTAATTAAAATCTTCAGAACCCTCTAAAGCCAAAACTCCTCTGAGATCAGACCTCCTGCTCAATATGAATATTTAATCATTCAATCTCTCTACTGAGAAGAGTGTGTGTGTGTGTGTGTGTGTGTGTGTGTGTGTGTGTGTCTGTGTGTGTGTTTGTGATGGGGTTGGGGGTATATTCCGCTCACCACCCTCCCCTGTCCCTCTCCACAGCCTTGAGATAGAGCTGTATGGTAAATAAAGAGCAGCCCTGATGCCTTGTCTTTCCTGATTACACCTCTCCTCTCACTCCACAAGCAGATTGGTTTTGAAAAGCCCATTTGATCTGCAGGGAGCGGCCATAATTGAAATGAGCTCTGGATATAGACTTATTTGATTTTGATTTCGTTTGGGAGCTTTTTTATACTCTACATGATAGAGATGGGAAAATAACAGCTGCCAGAAAGTTCTATTATAGCTCTATACTTTCGTAATCACCACCATAATTGCACAGTTGAGCGTGATGGGAAAGGCGTGATTAAATATGATTAGCAGATGGTGTTTGAATTGTGGAGTTAGCTTTTTTTATTATTTTAAAAAAGGCTTTGAAAAGTCAATTTGAAATGATCATTACTGTTTAAATATGTTTTTTAAAACAGATAAAATCTGTTCAGAGTCATTGTAAAATACTCGATGTACGCACACTGTCTGCCTCACACCAGCCGAACTCTGCGTCACAGCACCAAGTCAGGAAAAACAGTGGAACAACCTGTGACTGTAATGCTGGTTGCATGGACTACTGAGTGTACTGATGAAGGAGGAACCTGGTTCTGTTTAAACTGAAGGCTTGATGACTTATTTTCTTAACGAGAACCAGGCTAATCAGATCTCTAGCAGGCCAAGTAAAACCTAACAGGCTAAACAAGTCCTCCATTAATATCACAGGCTTTTTCTTAAAGTACGTACTACATGATTCACTGTAAATCTGCAGTATAAACAGCAAAGAATGGGTCACTTGAATGTTTTACACCAGTGGTCACCAACCCTGCTCCTGGAGATCTGCCTTCCTGAAGAGTTCACGTCCACCCCATACTAAACACACCCAAGGTAGATCATCAGTCCACTTAATTAGCTGGGTCAGGTGAGTTGCAGGACAGTGGTTCTCCAGGAGCAGGGTTGGTGACCACTACATTTATGCAGCTTTCTCAGTCACTTTATTATCTACAGCTCTGCTCATCACCCTGAGCATGCGTGGTGTTTATTTTATTGCGGCTTCCTACAAATTATATGTAACCCATAACCACTGAGGTTAGAGAGCAGCAGCATCATGTTAGAATATGCAGGTATAATAAGCTCACTGGACAAAAAAAATTAGTCACCTTTCACTAAAACATGTCTAATAGTGTGTAATACCTCCACGAGCATGAATAACCCCCAGAAGATCCTCCAAGGTGAAAATCACCTTGCACACAGTCCTCCCTGAAGGCTTCCTGAGGTCTACGATGAACACGACGCCGAGCATCATTCACAGACAGGCAGAAACGAGATTCATCTGACCAGATAACAGGTTTTCAGTCATGAACAGTCCAGTGTTTGAGTCTCTTCAGTCACTGTAAACGGGCAACTTTGTGAGCAGAAGTGAGCAAAGGCCTCTCTCGTGCCACTCTGCTCCATATATTCATGGTGTGCAGTTCCTTGTGGAGAGTTCTTTCAGAAATTGGTTGTGAAGGATCTGCGTTGACTTCTAGAAGCAAGAAGCAACAGTCCCTGTTCAGTTTTGTCCTTCATCCACAATTCTGACGAGAATTTCCTGTAGACTGGGATTTTTGCCACTGCTGGTTGACCCGTATGACCATACGCTTCGATACACCTGCAAATTCAGCTACTTCTTTCACACTGTGGCCTTTGACACGCCCAAATGCAATCACTCTTTTTTGCCAATCATTAACATCTGCTTTACAAACATCAGTCACTTTACTTGAAGCACTCAGTGACGGCATGTAAATGTTTGTAATGTAGTATTAAAGTATTAAAGGTGTTTTATAATTGTGCACAGGCCATTATTCTTCTAAATGGCATTATTATGGGTAGTGATATATTTAGAAGTTATGAAATAATTATGACAATATTTTATTACTGCCTTATAAAGCATTATTATAGTTTATAAATATGCTTAGAAAGCATTGTCACCAGGTAACAAAGAGATATACACGCATTTATAACTGTTCATAAATACAAGCTTCATAGAAAGTGCTTTTAAAAATATGTACTCTCTCTCTCTCTCTCTCTCTCTCTCTCTCTCTCTCTCTCTCTCTCTCTCTCTCTCTCTCTCTCTCTCTCTCTAGGATCGTCTGTATTTCGTGATGGAGTATGTGAATGGGGGTGACCTCATGTATCACATTCAGCAAGTGGGCAAGTTTAAAGAACCCCAGGCTGTGTAAGCTTCAGCATGTTTAACTGTTTGTTGAATTGATTGTGTCTCTCAGCCTCTCTAACGTGTCCTCAGATAGACTTCCGTGTTTGTCTCATCAATAGCCTGAAGAATCAGTAAGACTGCCAATGTCTGTCTAGTACCTGGTTCAGGTTAAATGCAATCATACGTTTTAACCTCTTATTGACCAGGGTATATTTTGGTTTTTCTATCTGAGTGTACATGACCAAATCATAAGGCAAATTATTCAGTAACTGCATGAAATAAATGTAAATTTTTATTTTTTTTTTTTTTTTAAAGCTCTCCTCAAATTAACAGAAAATGTGTTTTATGATCATACAATTGCTATATGCTTACAATTTACTGCTGAAAGCCAAAAATCTTAGACACACTACAGCATCTGTTTATAGTTTATAGCCCAGATTTGTGGAAAAATGGGTCGACTTTCGGTAGACAAAAAAATTGTGAGTTCAGCTTCTTTTATTATAAGGGTTTAAAATTACATCACCTATCTATTTGGCCAGAAAGAAGACAGTTACAGCTCTCATATGACACCCACCTTTTGAATGTAGCTTATGAAATATGAAAGTTATGAAGAATATGACAAAGTGCGTTTTGGAACCACCGGTGGTCTCAAGGAGTTGAAAAGGTTAATTGAGCCTTTGATGGGGGGGCATAGCTGTTTGTAACGAATTTCCCTATTAATAATTATTGCTATTTATAATAACTTATACAGTATAAATTGAAATATTATACTAGACATTAGAAAGTATATTACATATTTTTGAGATTCTTTTGGAGTCATGAATTTATCAAATGATAAATAATAAACTATATTTATCTTTCTATGGTAATTTATGTTAATAAATGGTCACATTATCTGCCCCGAGATTTGATCACTACCTTTGAAATACAACCCTGTTTCCAAAAAAGCTGGGACACTGCGCAAAATGTAAATAAAAATAGAATGCAATGAGACGCAAATCATAAAAAAACATGTATTTAATTGAAAATAGTACAAAGACAACATGTGAAATATTGAAAGTGAGGAAAGTTATTGTTTTTGAAAAATGTATACCCATTTTGAGTTTGATGACAGCAACACCTTCCAAAAAGTTGGGATGGGGTCATGTTTACGTCAGTGTGGCATCACTTCTTCTTTTAACAACACTCTGTAAGCGTTTGGGAACTGAGAAGACCAATTCAGGGTTTGTACAGTCATGAAAATCCTGGAAAAGTCATGAAAATTTGGTTTCCAGGCTGGAAAAGTTATGAAAAATACGAAGTGCTGGAAAAATCATAGAACCTTTTAGACTTTTCCCCTATTTAGTTAGTCGTCTCCTCATATTTACAGCACTGAAGAGTCTAGATCACAGAAAACACAGACCGAGATTAATGTCTCTGCATGGGAACTAGCTTTACTAACATGTTAATATGAATCCCAGCTAGCCAAGGTGAACATTCACTACGTCTGTGTTGTGAAAGATGTTTTGACATTCGAACACTGGAGAAGAAGAATTAACAAGCCAAATGTAAGAGGAGATACACACCTCTACTGCTTCTCACACAGTGCTTCTTCACTGTGAGTCAAGCTACGTTTATACCTGACACAGTGATTCCAATCTTTTGAAATGGGTTTGGTCACTGGAAAAGGCTTGACCCTGGTGCTGCTTTGTAGAAAAGCCCTGGCTGAGTGCTGATGATTTAGTGTGACTGAGCAGATCCATCAGTGTGAATAGACTGTGTAACCAGAGTGTCTGTCATTACAGGTTTTACGCAGCAGAGATCGCTGTGGGCCTGTTCTTCCTGCACCGGAAAGGAGTCATATACAGGTGAACACATACAGTTTATATTATTTCTTTGTGTGTTATTTCTGTTGTTTCTAAATGGCAGTCTAACAGTCCCCGTGGCTTAGCCCACCATATATTCATGTAAAACATACTGCCAGAGGTGGAGGAGGTGAATCAACTGTGTCAAAATTTGTAATGCTAGAAGTCGATAATAATTGATCATGCTAGATTTTAATCAATTATAATAGTGTTCAATAAAGTATGCGACTCATTTGTTGGCCACAGTAAAGACAGCACGGTATATTGTTTTTATTGTCTATCTTCACAAATAATTTAGAATTATGTACATAAACTATGTTATTCTAAATCATACCAGAGTGTACAAATCAAATCCAAGAGAAATCCAAGATTTTATTATGCATTTAATCTTCTCTCAAATTACCTAAATCCCTTTTTGCGATCTTTCATCCCTAATGCTCCTGTATCCATCCCTTATATTGATCCCTTATACCCCTCTATCCATACCTAATGACCCTATATCCATCCCTAATACCCCTTCATCCATCCTTAATGATCCTGTATGCATCTCTAATGCTGCTGTATTAAACCCTGAAGCCCTGTATCTATCCCTAATACCCCTTTATCCATCCCTACTATCCCTGCATCCATCCCTAAGAACCCTTTATCCATCCCTCATGCACCTGGTTTTATCCCTACTACCCCTGTATCCATCTCTAATACCCCTGTATCCATCCCTAATACTCATGTATCCATCCCTAATGCCCTGGTATCCATGCCAAATGCCCTGGTATCCATGCCTGATGCTCCATATCTATCCCTAATGCCACTGTATCTATCCCTAACACCCCTTTATCCATTCCTAAATCTCCCAGATCCATGCCTAATGCCCCTGTATATTTGCATAATGCTCCGCATCCATTCCTAATACCCCTGTATCCAGCCCTAAGAACACTTTATCCATGCCTAATGCCCCTGTATCTATCCCTAATACCCCTGTCTCCATTCATAATGCCCTGGTATCCATCCCTAATGCCCTGGTATCCATGTCTAAGGCTCTGTATCCATCCCTAATACTCCTGTTTACATCTCTAACACCCCTGTTTCCATCCATAATTTCCCTGTATCCATCCCTAATGCCCCTATATCCATCCTTAATTCCTCTCTATCCACCTCAATGCCTCTGTATCATCCATAATACCCTTCCATTCACCTCTAAAACCCCTTGTATCCATCCCTGATGTCTCTGTGTCTAACCCTACTTCCCTAACACCCCAGCGTCCAGCCCTAATGTGATGTAATGACCTTGTACTCCAGTGTTCTTCTGCTGTACTAATGATGTGCATGCTTTCACCTGAACTCCTCTGGTTCTCTCCCTGGTCACTCACTTGTGCAGCACAGCTGTTTGGCCCTTTCCTGTTGTTTTTAATTCTCTGTGACTGAACTGGCCCGAGGAAATGGAACACACACACACACACACACACACACACACCCTGTTCTCACTGACGTCAGCCAGCATGGCCGCCTGTCTGTACGGCTCTGACACACTGAAAGAGAGAGAGAGAGAGAGAGAGAGAGAGAAAGAAAGGAAAAAAAAGAGAGAGAGGTTTTGTCCCCCATTCCTTAAGCCAAACTTTGTTTTGTAGTTTGTGTTTTATCAGACACTTCAGTAGATGCCCCTCTGATGACCCCTGTACCACTCTCAGTGTTAGTAATCAACACCAGACTGCAGACTAACAGCAGCAGAGTCCAGAAGTGTGTCAACATATCACTATTACACCTATATGTGCTTGATGGGCATCCCATTCTAAAACCATGGCCATTCATTTGGAGTTGCCACCCCCCCCCCGCCTCTGATGACCCCCCCGCCCTTCACTCTTTTCAGAATGCTTTCCACAAGTATATCTGTAGGAATTTAAGCCCATTCAGTCAAAAGAGCATTTATGAGGTCAGACACTGATGTTGGACGAGAAGGCCTGACCTGCAGTCGACGTTCCAGTTCATTCCCGAGGTGTCCAGTGGGGTTGAGGTCAGGGTTCTGTGCAGGCCAAACTCGTCAAACCATGTCTTGCTGGAGTTGCTTTGTGGGCACAGTCATGCTGGAACAGGAAAGGGCCCCAAACTGTTGCCACCTGCTCCACCAGACTTTACTGCTGGCACTATGCGTTTCACTAGATTGCATCCTCCTGGTATACGCCAATCCCAGATTTGTCCATCAGACTGCCCAGTAGTGAAATATTGTGGCGGACATGTGCTTTGCACCAATCCAGCCAACGCTTGATGCTGCACCTAGTGATCCTAGGCTTGTGTGTAGCTACTAGACATGGAAACTCTTTTCATGAAGCTCCTGACATGCAGTTCTACTGCTAATGTTGCTTCCAGAGGCAGTTTACAACTCTGTAGTGAGTGATGCAGCAGAGGATAGACGATTTTTATGTGGCGCTCGGTAGCCATGCTCTATGAGTTTGCATGATGTACTGCTTTGTGATGCTTCCATTTCTCAATGATAAAACTTACAGTTGTCTGGGGCAGATCTAGCAGGGCGGAAGTTTAACGAACTGGCTTGTGGCAAAGGTGGGATCCTATGACAGTGCCACGTTTCAAGCAATTGAGCTCAGTATGACCCATTTTGCTACCATTGTTTGTCTATGGAGATAGCATGGCTACGTGCTTGATTTTATATACCTGTTAGCAATGAGTGTGGCTGATACACTTACACTCATTAATTAGGAGGGGTGTCCACATACTTTTCATAGCCTGCTTGTTTTGCCTGCTGTTGGTCTGTGTAGAAGTACTTTAACTGTATTAAATTACTTTTAAAAGCAACCTTGAGTTTGAGAAAGGTGTTATGTAAATTATTGTCATTACTTTAGTGATCCACTAGATCTAGGCATGTTTAATTTGATCGAGTATCAACCTAATCCACTTCTGATCCTTTGTTTATTTTTTGCACTGTACTCATGCTGCTCTCTCAGCGAGCCGGCCATCTGTCAGACCCTAAAACTGGAAATTGGGCATTTTTTTCTCACCAGTGTTTAAAGCTATGAAAAATGCTTTGATGGAATTACCTGATCAGCTTGCTGAAGGGTTTTTTCAGCAGATTTTGTTGGGAAGAAGTCAAAGTTCGCACCCTGAAGTTTAGCAACATTTCGACTTTCTACCTCTCTTGGTGTTACACTGGTACAGTAGCCCAGTTCTGATACTCCTCTGTGTAAATATAAATGCTGCTGTATTTTTTTTAGGGACCTGAAGCTGGATAATGTAATGCTGGACGCTGAAGGTCACATTAAAATCGCGGATTTCGGAATGTGTAAGGAGAACATACATGAAGGCGTCACGACACGCACCTTCTGTGGGACACCCGACTACATCGCCCCAGAGGTGAGTGAACCTGGGGGGCAGTGCTTAACCCATACAGAGCTGTGGGCTATTTACCGCAATACTCAAACATCAAACATCGTTAAAAAAAATCCAAAGGGCATCAGCTCAGCTGGCAATCAGCATCAGCCTCTCTTGAAAAAATCATGCTCAAATATGAGATGAGTTCTGACAGAAAAATACCAAGTACACAAATTATGTATTTGATTGTTAGATATTTCATTTTTTGATGAAAATATTACATATTTAAATATGTAATATTTAATACAAATATTATTTTGGTCTGTAAAAAAGTTTTACACATTTATACTTCCCCTCTGATGACGAATCCCCAATAAGGGTGAGAATTGCAGAAGTGTTCTGTTTATCAGATGACAGAAACGGTGATGCAGAAGTGAGTTAAAGCTGCAAATCTTTAAAAACTTTTGTTTCACAATGTGTTTTCATAGTAATTTTAGCTTCTTTTCTCAATTCAAAACCAATTATAGTAGAAAAAACAAAATGTCATTTATTATCGATGACTTGGTGAGTTATTTCAGTGTTTGATACCAATTTGTATCAGTTTATAGGGACAGTTCATAGTCTAAATGAGTCAGATAAACTGATAATCTCTGTTTTCCACCTTCTAGTTCGTTTCAGTCTCTCAGCTACACTAATGTTTTTGAGCAGTCAAAACTAGAGCCAAAAAAATTTACTTCTTTGCTTATTTCCCTTTGTGTAAACACTGGTTATCTCATAGTATCTCTTACTTCAGTCTTCAATTCAATTTACTGAAATTATTTCTGTTTTTAGAAAGAAATAGCCCCGGCTATTCAGCCTAAAGCAGTTTAGCCCCGGCTATTCAGCCTACAGCAGTTTAACCCCACCCATTCAGCCTACAGCGGTTTAACCCTGCCCATTCAGCCTACAGCAGTTTAGCCCCACCCATTCAGCCTACAGCGGTTTAGCCCCGCCCATTCAGCCTACAGCAGTTTAGCCCTACCCATGCATTCACAAGTTATAAGGAGTGTTTCAGCCTGTCTGCTTTGTGATTCTCAGCAGCCAATTAGAACAGAGGTCATTTACATAAACAGTCTTAAATGCACAGTAACACAAACAGCCTGTTCAGTTTTAAAGGGATTAAGAGAGGCTGGAAAAATGTAAAAGTGAATAATGACTGTTTTAGCACATAAAGCCACATAAACAGGCCTTTAGGGGGAAAAAATGTAAAATGTAGGATGTGGGCTCTTTAAAAAAGTGCTAGTCGAGTCCAGACGATGTGGCCTGGGGCAGAATGTTTGGAAATGGTGATGTTTGGGAGTAGGTGGGTGTGTGTGTGGGGGTTACCTGTAGTGCACTGGGACACTTTAGCTTTAACATTGATCAGAAAAAAGCATGTGAATGAGGGAGTGAGTGAATAAACGGTATGACGTGGATTATTCTTTTACAGATTTATCTGCCTCTACACTTTTTCCTCACATTTTGGCCTTGTGTGCTTCCACCCCTCACACTAGTGACCTACATCCCGACTGACAACCTGCTGCAGACACACACAAACACAATGTAAAAGTCTCTCTGTCTCGCTCACTCTGTCTCTCCACACTCACACACACACACACACTCATAAACAGACCCAGCCTAAGTATTAGTGACACGCCTGCCAATGCAGCTCTAACAGAGAGCCACACAGTCATGTCCTAAAGCAAGTCCTTTAAAAGTCAAGTCACAGAAACCCACTGCAGTGTTTAACTCCCACAGACCTCTCATGCGTCTGTATTTTCACTGACTGCAGCCCTGCGGCCACTGCCTCCATGCTAATCACTGTCCAGTCCAAATATAGGGGCTCGTTCTGTTTGTTTAGGCAAACTGAATATGATTTAGATTACTTTATATATTTCTTTATTTTGATGTGGCGTACTTGACTGTATGCTGACTGCTTGAAGGGGAATTCCACCAATTTTTTGAAAATTTCTGCATTATATAGTCATTGAGATGTAAGCAAAGTCAGTCAGAGGGGTTTAAGTGAAATGGTTCATTGTAGAGAAACTTACAGACTCAGATTTCTTTACAGTGGTGGTGATAGGAACCAGGGGTCACCATGACTACAACACAAATACAGCCATTTTATTTACTATCCAAAACCACCTGTGAACCTACATGTGTTTGTATATCGTCACTGTCCAAAAACAAAAAACAGTAATGGTGTAGGAGTCTTTAGATCTTAAATCTAGTCAATATGTATATTTTTTCATTATATTAAGATTATGAATTTATTTGTCTATGTTTTTACTAGACAAAATATCTTATGTTACTGGCAGACAATTTAGCTTACTTCCCAACCATAATGCTTGAAAGAAGCAAAACTGTCTGCCAATAGAATAAGACTATTTTACTACAGCCGCATAGTGAAATGCAGCTACAATGCATAGGAAGCCTATGTACACCAATTATACATAAAACATAATTGCATTCATTTTTATAGAAAAGTGTGTCAGAAACCATGTAAGCGAGCTTATTTGAGATTAGTTAACAACTTAATGTACACATAGGTACATACCTGGCTGTAAGTATGTACACATCCCTCCTAATTATTGAGTCCAGGTGGTTTAACTACCCTTATCACATAGCAGGTGTGTAAAATGAAGCACATTGCCATGCAGTCCTCATAGACAAACACTGGCAGTAAAATTAGTTTCACTGATGATCTCAGTGATTTCACGGCACTGTCATAGGATGCCATCTTTGCCACAAGACATTTTGTGAAATTTCTACCCTGCTAGATCTGCCCTAGTCAACTGTAAGTGCTAGTATTCTAAATCTGAAGAAAGCAAGAGCAAAAACTAAAGCAAGAACACAGCGCAAACTCGCAGAACAGGGCCATTGAGGTCTAAAGCATGTAGAAATCGCCTGCCTTCTGCTGCATCACTCACTACAGAGTTCCAAACTGCCTCTAGAGGCAACATCAGCGCAAGAACTATACATCAGGAGCTTCATGAAATAGGCTTCCATGGCTGAGCAGCTGCACACAAGCCTAAGATCACTGTGTGCAATGCCTGTTGTAGGCTGAAGTGGTGTAAAGCACAACGCTACTGGACTGTGGAGCAGTAGAAATTTATTTTCTGGAGTTATTAATCACGCTTCACTATCTGGCAGTGTGATAGAAGCATCTGGATTTGGTGGATGCCAGAAGAATGTTACTTACTGGAACGCATAGTGCCAACAGTAAAGTTTGGTGGAGGAGGGATAATGGGCTGGGGCTGTTTTTCAGGGTTTGGGCCACTTAGTTCCAGTAAAGGATGATGTTAATGCTACAGCTTACAAAGACCTTTTAGACAATTATATGTTTCCTGTTCCATGACTGTGCGCCTGTGCACAAAGTGAACTCCATAAAGACACTGTTTGACAAGTTTATTGTGGAAGAACTCCAGTGGTCCCACTGAACACCTTTGGGATGAACTGTAACGTTGATTGTGAGCCAGGCCCTCTCATCCGACATCAGTGTCTGACCTCACAAATTCCCATAGACACACTCCAAAAACCTGCGGAAAGCCTTCACAGAAGAGCGTAGGCTGTTATAGCCGCAAAAAGGAGCAACTGTTTTTGAAATGGGATGTCCAACAAGCTCATATAGGTGTGATGGCCAGGTGTCCACAGACTTTTGGCCATTTACTGATATACATGATACTAATTAGCATGCTGTATATACAGATTGCCTTATAAAGCACGGCGGCCCAAAAAAAAGAAACTGGTTGCAGACGCAGATAATCTGCCTTCTAGCTGTTGTTACAGAAGTGGTGATGAATGCTCTCCACAAGTTATGAAAAAGTGTCGGCACCTGCGTGCCTAAGCACTGAATAAAGTGCTGTGTTGAATTTACTAGTGTTTGTTATTTACATGTGAAAAACATGAGGTGGTAGCATAAAGGGAGTCTGATTGAGGGAGGGGGGAGAACTCTGAGAACTTGGACTGGAGTTCTAGACGGCTTCTGTCTGTAGCTAGAAGGCCCGTCCCCCCTCATAGCTGTCGTAGGACTGATATAGGACTGAGGAACAGGGAGGAGATGGGGTGGATGACACTCCATCATGGGAATGGAAGGTGAGGATGTGAATTTATGTGCCATTAGATTAGAAGAAGGAGGGGTTTCAGGCATGTTCCTCCCCTTAAACTTTAGTTATAACAACTATATATTACACCAACACAGGTTTATCTTCCTCTTGGCAGTAGTAGTGCTGATGTAATGTATTTTAATCATGTGGAAATGATGCACACATTTGAATCGAGTCAGTTCGATGTAGCACTTTATTCGGGGCATAGTAGCTAAGCGCTGTCTCAATGAGAGCACATTGATTTCTGTTAAACCTTTTACAGCTTAATTGAATTCTGTTGAGCGGTAACTAATGGTTACAGCGCTAATGCTCCTGTGCGTGTGTGTGCATGTGTGGTGTGTGTTTGAGAGCAGTGTTAATGGCTAATTCTTTTGGCTAACTCTGTCAGTGGGGAGCTGAGCTTATTCAGTCATTCCATTATTCTTAATACTGCCCTACTAAACGTGCACACGCTGCTCTGTTCAGATCTGCCCTGTTTATCAGACCGTGCTTTCTTTTTGCAGTGTAATTTGATTTATTTCAGCTCAACTCAAATGACTTTACTAGTAATTGTATAAGTAAATGGAGAAGTGCTGGACTAAGTTGTCAGCTGTATTAAAGGGGCTGTATCCTATATTTTTCTTGGATATTTTTCCTTTTGGGTTTATGTACCAAAAACAGTGGTAATTCATTTTTACATGACTATTTCCAACCTCTCTTTATCTGTTATGCTGCATCCCTATGTTGGCATACAAAAAAGTCTTTCCATGGCTCATAGCAGTAAATGACCAACGGCCATGAATACGCTGCTATCGTGACAGCATTGACAGCAAAGATGGATGGTTTTATTATATCAAAACTGCAGTTTGAAAGTGATTTTCAAATTACAATTTTAATTTTAGCTTATCAACAATGTTGCCTTGATATGTTTTAAGTTGG